GCATCTACCTGAAACCCAGGGTTACGATTCGCTGATGTTAGGTTAGGTTTGCGCAGTTCACTACTGCGCATCCATCTGTAACATGGAGGGGGCGAAGCTCGATAATTTACGCTAATGTTACGTTGTGAGTGTACATTAGGAAAGGTGTGCGCAAATGACTATTGCGCGTTGTTATGATCAGTCGAGCACTGTTTGGCCTTCGGCAATATCTTATGATTGAAAGACGCTGATGGGGTATCAATTCATTAATTATTTATACGAGACATTTTATTTCCGAATTTTCTCACAAGATAAACGCTTGCATATATTTTTCTGTTAAACACCGTACGTAATCTACGAAACCTGGAATATATTACGATATTTATAATGGTCATAAATGCACTTTTTCCGAAATATTGACATTTCACAATGCTCTCAAGTGCATGATATCACAATTATCTTCACTGACTCTTACAATTTCCAACATTTCCCGAAATATTCTCTTTTCGAATGTTCCCACTATTAACCTTATTATGCTTTTCGACATATGTGAAGGATATACATATACTTTAAATTAAAGGTATCCACTCCACAACACTAGTGCTCAAATATCACATAGGGAAATCACCGATTGCGTTCTCAACCTGAGAAAATATTATTCAGCTTTCCTGTATGCATTAAGAGAAAAAAAAGGACACATCAATATACATGTTCTAGACTAAACTATAAAATACAATTACAAGAATGTCAGCTGTAACAACTCGTGCTTTCCTGTAAACAATGTGATCCTGTAAACACTTTAATAGAAGGAAATAAAATAGTTACCTGATGCTGTATACTACCTGCTGCCACACGTAAGTCTGGAAGATTGGATGGTAAGAATGCAATCCACTATCACACCGAAATACATATCTAACTTACAAATCACTTGCCATCATTCTTCATGCTATTACACATACTCTACACAACACTGTGCACATTTCACACCGTCACTGATCAGGATTCCCAGCACACCACCAATGAAATAATGTGTTTCACTTATCATAGCACCTTCTTATAAGCAAGAATTCATGAAAACAACATATGTACATAAAGGGGAAACTTTTCAATCCATTGTGGGAGAATGGAGATCTTAACATTCTTGAAAACACTGCAAAACCTTATACTCATCACTCTAAATACTCCTATTACACACACAAAACTAACGTCACACTAGAGAATTTAAACTTCAGTCTACACTCGACTTCTTCATGCTATTACACATACTCTACACAACGCTGTGTACATTTCACACTGTCACTGAACAGGATTTCCAGCATAACACCAATGATATATGTTTCACTTAGCATAGCACCTTCTTATAAGCAAGAATTCTTCATGAAAACAACATATGTACATAAAGGGGAAACTTTTGAATCCACTGTGAATGAATGGAGATCTTGACATTCTTGAAAACACTGCAAAACCTCATACATATCACTGTATATATTACACACAAAAACATAACGTCACCCTTGAGAATTTAAACTTCAGTCTACGCTCGACATTATTGTGACCAAAACAACATAAGTGTATATTATACCCACCACTCTCTGTCACATAGTACTAAGTTATGAATTCAAAAAACACCTTCTTCAATGGGAAATAGAAATTATCTTTGCACCCTCTTCTTACAAGCACTTATACTAATGCAAAATGAAGTATATCACTCTGACTAATAACGTACTCACACGTGTAATATTCAGAGACTACATTCCAAAACTACACCCAGTTTTCTCTCATATCAAATATGAACTCATAAAATCTAATTCACTTTCTAGCCATATTACCACTACAACACATTTTCTGAAAATCAATGTACATATTTCACACGAGATTATGAATAACAGTGCAAGAATAACCTCAAAGACACATTATCTTTCATAACACTCCCACTATTCTTATATGCACTTACTTTCGACAAATCAATAAATGTACCTAATGGTGTATTCTTCACTGATGCATACTTCAGTTTCATGGTTTACAGAGAAAACACTTCGATTTCGTTGTGGAACGGAGGAAACACGTTTGAAAAATTTGGTGCACTCGCCATTGCGACTAAAATTTGCACTACTTCATTGAATATTTTAAGATATACTTTCAGGCAGATAAATAAACAAAACTTGTAAATATATGTATATAAACATACACACACAAAACCGTCTCATATTTATAAAAACCTGTTCATACCAGGAAAGAAACCTACATTGATGCTACACAGGGTATTTAGGTCACAGTGACAGGGCAGCCAACATCTTGACATCACTGAAAGAGAAACATTGCCAAATCAAACTCAGAAACATTGGATTATCAGATCGATTACAGAACGGTAATTTGTCACCCTATTTTTTACTCATTTTCGTGTAGAATATTATTCTATTTTCTATCCAGGAAGGGAAATTCGGCCGACACAAATGCCAAGCAGTCACTGAATTGGTCGCATATACATCCGCGAGAAAGAAGGGAACGGATTCACTGATAATAACGATTTTACGTCGTGACGTTATGCCATTGCAGGGCAGCATAATGCCATACTGTGCAATATTTAGTAATCATTTGTATCACCGTGGGGGATGCGCAAACTCGTGAGGTGGGAGCGGCGTTTTCGTCACAATCTAAGCTATCACGTGGCAATAAAACCCCGGAATATAAGAGCATAGATTGAGATTATGGTTTGAAAAACATTCAACACGCTCAATTTTATACATAACGTCATGTTTCGATTTATATCCCATGTTACAACAGTCCTAGATTACGTTCTGTTAAATAGCAGACTCGTAAATGACGTCACTGCTAGGTGTGCGCAAGACCAGTAACTCAGGCGGCTGGCCCTTGGGTACCATTCGCAGATGTTAGGTTAGGTTAGGTTAGGTCAGGTCAGGTCAGGTCAGGTCTGCGCATCCACCTCTTATTGAGGGGGGTGGCCCTCGGGTACCATTCGCTGATGTTATGTTAGGTTAGGTTTGCGCAGTAGACTACTGCGCATCCATCTCTACGACGGAGGGGGCGAAGTTCGGTAAGTTACGATAATGTTAGGTTCCGAGAATACATTATGACAGGTTTGCGCAACTGACTACTGCGCATCTTTATGCTCAGTTGAGCATGGTTTGGCCGTCGGCAATATATTACGATTGATTGTCTGATAGCGTATGAAATCTATATATATTTATACGGGACATTTTATTTCCGAATTTTCACATGATAAACTCTTGCATATATTTTTTCTGTTAAACTCTCTACGTAATCTATGGACCCTGGAATATATTACGATATTAATAATGGTCCCAAATTTATTTTTTCCCAAATATTGACATTTCAGAACACTCTCAAGTGCATTATATCACAGTTATCTTGATTGACTCTTACAATTTCTAACATTTCCCGAAATATACTCTTTTTGAATGTTGCTATTATCAATTTATGTTTTAGGCATATGTGAAGTATATACATGTACTTTATATGAAAGCCCGGCGGCTGAGATGCACTGTTCTAGACCATTTTGGACAGGAAAAGCATCAGACAAATGTTTGCCTATATGAGCTTTACTACATGTTTCACTTAAACACATCTTAATCAGAATAAATAGTATTGTGGGTACCCCAAAACCTGTGAGAATACTATACAAATATGACACATGTCACAGTATATGTGCCCTTATGACATGAAACACTCTTCAAAAGTTCCCAATATTAAATGTCAATCTTCTTACCATGCAGTATCGACAACAAAAAAAGACAAACCAAGCCTAATCATACCTACACAATAAACAAACCACCATAAAAACCTTACTCACTCACGGTTCACGACACTAATAATCATTAATGATACAAAACCAATCAAGCAACTCAAGCTGCATGACCTTTCAATCTTATGATACTAAAATACACTTATCTCCACATGGAGATTAACATTATACATATTTATTTTATATTATATTTAAGCATCCTGTTACATTTCACACTTCTATATGTATAATATAAACTCCGTTGTAAATGCAACACTTTATTGTAGTTCTTGCCCCCCTTCTTTTACACTACATGTTTTGGCCACACCCGGCCATCATCAGGTGTATTTTACTTCACATAGCTGTCACACTGCACTCAATATTATCATTTAAACTCCAGATTTCCAATTGTTCATTGCTCTGTCGTCAATCGGCACCCGATATTCCAGAACTCTCCTTGTCGGTTTTGTCAATTATGATTAAAATCTTTATTAATATTGACTCGCCGATTAGTTTAAAAATTTTTAAATTCTCAATTTAGCTTTAATATATATAAATTTATATTCAAATCTAAATTAAAAAATCACAGAGATACCTGCTCTATGCTTATACAGGATGTTTCACGACTTTAGGTCATAACAGCAGGAGGTGATTTCCTAGGTCTTTGTGATCAAAAAAGTTCATATAAATATTTTTCCGATTTTGGACGGTTATGGAGTTATGACCGTCTTTTCATTCCCATACACTCCCTCGTGTGAACCGCGTCTGTCAGCTGGCGGGTCGCTATTTTTAGCCAGCTACAGACAGAGCGTTCTCGTTATCTCGACACTTGAGAGGTACTTAAGGCGTGGTGGGTTGGTATGTCCGGCGCAGTTCACAACCGAGCGGCAGCCTGTGTTGCAGCCAGCAGTGGCATTTTCGAAAATAGGCTTTAAGCACCAATAAATTCAAATTAAGGGTAATTTCACGAAGTCAACTTTACATTCATACTTTAAATGTATCATGCATTATGCTGGTTTATTATTTTGTTCTGTTTATTGTTAGTAATCGTTGCCTTCTTTCTGAGTTTCAAACGGTCATAACTACGTAACTGTCCAAAATTGGATGCATGTTTATATGAACTTTTTTTAATACAAAGACCTAGAAAATCACCTCCTGCAGTTATGCTTTAAAGTCGTGAAACACCCTGTATGTGCTGCAGCAGCTACCTCTTGCTTTCAGCACAGCTCGCGTGTTATCTGTAATACACACACATTCTTGAAGATACTTAAAACATAAACCACAATTAGATAAATATACCATATACCATAATGTAATCATATAAAACATAAAATACTGTAAAGAGTAAAGATTTTAAATGAGATTAGTTACATAATTAAAATATAATTAACACGTCCTATTAAGGTAGGTTATTGCAATCGTAACGTTTAGGTCATAGTGTTTTTGCGGACATATGGAAAATTTTTCTTGCTCTTATACATGCGTGAAGTGGAGGCCTGTTGGTATGCATGCAGTATTATCTGGTTTTCATATCTGGAAGTAATATAAAGACAATAATATCTGACGGATACCTCTAGTTACGTGCATTATGTCCTGTCTTGTAGCAAGGCCGACTGTGGATTATATCACAGAATATTGTCAAAAATCCAATACTACTGTACTGAAATATATACTATGCAATTCAATAGCTTTGAAACGTGTTAACTGTGCATTTGCCTGATGATGGCTTTCTAAAAACCCGAAACATGCAGTAAAGTGCTGTTAAACATTAACGGTTTTGTTGTGTTGTTGTGATGGATTTTAATAAAGAAATTTATATATTTAACACAACAGGAAGCTTCCATTGAAAATAAACATTATAATTTTAAGAAACAAATTCATGTACTGTGAACCTGATCAATCATATTAATATCATAAACTGAAGTAGTATGGTGAGCATTATGAATGCAAAACACTCATAGTCACAAAGAGCCTGACACTGACGTCAATAAGAAAACAACTGAAGTGGAATCAATTCTACGAGTTATCACGCTTAGGACAAGAATGTATGAGAGGCCACATCATTAATGTTACATAGAACTCTGTGATTCATGCAACACAGTGCTGGATACTAGACAACTACTACTTTGACTTCTCTAACAGGGTCCTTAGAGCTGTTATGATTAAAAGAATTACGTGCAATGCAACTCAAACACCCAAAGCTAACAGTATGAAACCACCATGCTTCATAACAGAAACCATTCTAACTTGGTTGACAGACATTAATATTTCTCATTCAGCACAACACCTAACTCCATGGTGTCACAAATTTATTACCTACTCATCACACAACAAACAAAATTATTAGGAAGGTATTTAAACCTAAGAATGATCACGTCTCAGCAATTCAGGACACTGACTTAACTATAAATATATCACTCAGAATTTCTGACACTTCGGTGATCTCACAAGTATGAAGCATTAGGGCACATAACATTAGTATCAAATTTTCTGTGGAGAAACCTTCTGGAAAGTGGATCCTTGCAAGATGGAACACCTCATGGCAGAATAACTTCAAAACAGGAAGTATCAATAAGCAGATTTTTGGATCACAGGTGGATTCAACTGGCTACACATCATATGTAAAGGAAATCTCCGTGACAGTAACTTCAACCGTCACATTCTGCTGCCACAGCACTGCTTCTTAACATTCGATCAGTCACTTAAAGGCTTTGCTAAGGTTTATGACGATGGCAAGCAGTCATCAAGTCTCTAATAAAATCAACAAACTTGGGAGAACTATATTCACATATGTTATGCATAAGCACACATGATATTTAACCTTTTCAAGCCTAAAGGCGACATATGGAGTCACAAAAATAAAGTCAAGAGGACGAATGACTCCGTATGTCGTCGAGCAGTCCACGCGTGCGGTCGGCTTTTTAAAATCTAATTTTAAGTTATAAATTCTTTTTCTACTTATATGATTTTTGGACACCAGCTTTATAAGTTGTCTCTCTTCCCACCTGCGTCGTCTAATGGAATGTTGGCTTCGTGTGGAAATCTTGGAAACATCCGGAAATGCAGAGTCCCACATCACACTTCACGCACTTTATCTGGACGGTTCTTCGTTTCCCACACGAAGAGCACACTCGACACGTCAATTTCGAAGTAGAGGAAGTAGGCCAGTGCTGTTGTTTGGCCTCCTCTATTCGAAATGACCCCGATGAAACGGCAGGGGTTCGACCCCTGGGCCGTTGAGGGCGAGGGGGGCCCCTACCAGCATGCTCCAGCATGTTCCGCTGTCTACGTGCTGATGGTAGTACCTGTTCGTCTCTTCCACCAGCAGACGGATAATCCCTGTGAAATACAGCATGAAAACGCAGAAAGGGGTGGAATCCTTATTCACGTGTGGAGCTTCATTGGTATTTAACCCCACAGCTCCACCTGAATAATTATTCACACTCCTCTTGCCACGCTGGTGCGGTGGTCCCCAAGTTGCCGACGAAGATGATGGGTCTTTGTCGAAATCCATTTCTGAATCACTTTCCTCAACGCCACTCTCAGAACTGTCGGTAAAACAATCTGATTTGGAGTCATTTATGAGTTGAAAAATGTCTGCATCTTCCAAACGAGACGACGCCATGGTGAGCTGACAATATCACTGTTCTCGCTGCGAAACTTTGAAGCCGTATGACACTGCTTGGCTGTGCTTGGCCTTGAGAGTTGTGATAAACTAACTGAGCCTGGTCAGAACAGAGAACTTGTTGTGTATAAACAATCAACGTTCTTATAAACGGAGATATACACGCCCACATCTCTGCATACCGAAAGAAGGTACGTGTATAAGCTTCGAGACATGCAAGACTAAACATGCCTACATAACCATCCGCTGTGTTGCCACATCTACATACAGCATTCTTAGTTCCAAGAACTGTATGAATTCTTGTAGACAGACGATAAATTTGGGAATTTTATACTTGGAATCAGTCTAAAAATTTGTACACATTTTATAAAGTCTGTAAATTACAATATCTGATTCTATATTCTTTCTAGAAAAAACAGCGTTTATTTGGTTCGTTTATCACAAAAATTGTAGAAATCACAGCAATTTTAGTAAATGATTACAGTTTTTATTGCTTTATAATTGCGGGTATTTAAATTAAATCCGTCCTGCAGCCATTACCGGAATTTATAGGGCCGTCTCTTAAAGGTTAAAAGCAATATAATTTGCACACTAGTAGAACTCAATGGAAATTCTAGGCAATGTTATGAGTGCATTTTCAGTAATATTAATGGATGATACTAATATCTGATGTCCAAATTCATTCCATTAAACTCAATCTCATCATTACTTGTGCACAGCTGTGGGATGATAAAATGCTCAATGAATCTTAAATAAATAGTACTTCATAAACATTAACAGAATTCTGGAAAATGTTCAAGAAGAGGGTAATCTTTCTAACATACTCCAGTTAACCTCACATCATAACCTGCCACTGAATACTTACTTTGTTCCTCTCACTAGAATAACCTACATAACCAGCATCAAACTCAATCAAGTCAAGAAATCCAGTCAAACTCTACACCACTACTTGTAACTGTCATCAACCTCCGAAAGGTGCAACGACACAAGACACACGCCTGTTCAACTGACATCTTTCACTAACAGGGCACAACTATTACAAAGGTCAGATAAAAAATATAGTTCTGAAATGACTTTATTACCAGAGGTAAACGCACTCACATTCCTTCAATATAATCGCCCCCCATGTGTACCACCTTCTGCCAAATTTGTGGAAGGCATCGTACACCATCAACGCATCCACTTCTATTGATGTCCAGCCCTACAGCACGAATTATCTCCTCTCTTGTGTTGTAACGTGTCCCTTGCAGTGGTTCTTTCCTTTTGGCAAAGAGATCATAATTGCACAGACTCATATTGGGTGAGTATGGCGTATGTTGCAGTATCTCCAGTCACCAGCAGTGAAGGAAATCCTTGACAGCATCAGCAGTATGAGCCCTTGCATTGTCATGAAGGATGGGATTTGTTGCTAACAAGCGTCATCGCTCTCTCCTGAGTGCTGGACAAAGATGATTATGCAGGAAATTGCAGTAGTAGGCAGCATTTACTGTCTGTCACTGAGGTACAGTGTGGTGCAGTATCACTCCATCAATGTCATATGCCACAATGAAGATCGCCTTCACATTACTCTGTGTAGGACGCACTTTCTTTGGATGAGGACAGCCAGGAAGCTACTATTCATTTCATTGTCGCTTCAAGCATGGTTTGTATGAGGGAGCCCAAGTTTCGTCCAGAGTGACGATCCCTCCAAGGAAGTCTTCACCTTCCTTCTGGTACCAGTCCAACAAGTCCTGTGCAACTGCATAACGCTGCCATTGTTGCACCTTGGACACTGTGTGGGCTACCCAATGCGCTGCAATTTTGCAGTATCAAAGAATATCGTGCAGAATGTGGAGCACGGTTTTGTGACATATGCATACCTCAGCAGCTAACTCCCATGCAGCCCATCGACGATCGATATCCAGCAAAGAAGCAAGAAGCTGAATTGCCTGGTTGTCAACATGGGGTCATCCTGAACGACAGCTGTCCTGAATGGCATCCTTCCTTTCACAGAACAACTTCACCCATCGTGCCACTGTGCGATATGGCAAAGCAGCATCACCACATGCTTCTCGCAGTCCCTGATAACAGTTTTGTGAACTATGACCTCATGCATCTTCAATTTTTATCCAGGAGTGTTGTTCTTGTTTCGTAAACATGTTGTTAGGGTGCTTGAACTGAGCTCCAGCAGTTCAAGACGATGCACAATGCAACTCAATGAAACACAACCAGAGCCACTACTGCACTGCACTACTTCAACTGAACTTCTGTTATCAGCTACAGATGGCGCTAGTGCCACCTGATGCACATCTTTCATGTTACAGCAGTGTTGCCACTACTTTTTATCCAACTCTTGTAATACTACAATTAGTACCAGTGGATTCAAGGGAAACTGGTTTACGTGGTATGAATGCCATGTCACAGAAGCCCACACCAACATAACTTTTATTTTCCTACAGTAACCTAATACAGCATGGTGGAGACAAATCCTGTCACACTGGGTTCGTGATTCACATCACTGTGCATTTGGGCAGGGAAGGGCCTGGTTAGTTACCCGAGATTATAACTGGAGCATAACATTATGACCAAGACATTGCAGGCTCATGTCATCATAAACATTTTGCACACATCCAACTCTTCAAAATTTCCAAGCACCCAAAACTTACAAAACTCTATACTTCACAGTGATTAGTTTTCCTGAAGACTGGCCTGGTTTACATCTGGTCACACTGGAGTTCTATGGAACTGCACATGATCTTGGGTTTAAAATTACCACTCTTCCACACAGTGCCCTGATTTCCTAAGAGATGAACACATGGTTCTAACCACACTTCCTTTTTGTCTTTCTAAATAATTTACCACATTCAATCTCCAGTCATGTACAACACAAGTAGCTATTTCATTCTTACCTACAGATCATGGTGCCAGTGTACAAATGGTACTCACCTATTCAGACCCATAATTTTATCTCGAAGACGTGGATTCTCCTGAACAGTAGGCGCACACCATGTATGTAGAGTCAAATCCACTCTCCCTCCTGCACCCACTGAAACACACATTGTGCACACTATTAAAGATTTGACAGGAACTTATTAAAGATGAGCAGATGGCTAGTAATAATTGAGCCATGCTCCTCACTACACACACATTCTACTTCCCTCCAAGCTGCCTCCGATACACAGATTGGTCGTCTGTCCGTTTCGGTGCCTATACCTACAAATTCCCTATACTCAACAACCAGTCCCAACATTCCAATATACTGTAATAAGAAGTAGCCTGCATCATATAACAGATCCCATCTTACCTCTCAATTATCTGTCGCTATCATCTAGAGCTACAGTCTTCATTTAAAGGAGCAAGTAATGGTCTGCATCCAGGGCGTTCTCTTCAGTTGAAGCATCGCCTCACTGCGCATTCTGGCACAGCTCACTTAGATTAGGTGCACCATATCACTATATATCCAAGAGCGATTCTATGTTTCAAAATATCTTACATATCTAAGTATTTCTAATACTTTTAAACCTTCACATTCCCCAAAACCTCCTCACTTTACACAATATCCCCACATTCAAAACTGCATGATATATAAACTTTGGTATTCCTCAAAACTATCAAACGTCTATAACGCAGACAACCATTCCAATATATAAAATGTCACTGTTTCCTATGATTTATCAACTTACGGAAAATAAATCCACTCTCAAACGGCACAAAGTACCTTGCTCCATCATGGAACTTTTTTTTACCGCCTAGCATTCTGGGCATGTCCGATTTACATCGACTTCTAATTCGTTACGTTGGGCGAGTTTATATGTCCACTGTCATGGGCAACTTACACCACAGACACACACAGTTTTTACAGCTGTCTACGTATGAACACGACCAGTCTTTCACTGTTTTCGACAGTATATTTTACAGCTTTTCTTATGTAGCTTTCCTCACGTAAAAGCATAATGTACCGGTTACCAACATACTGCCGTGCCAGGCTAAACCTATCCCCTACTCAAACTTACGCACGCACGTATTAATATGATATAATGAGTGTTGGTACCCATGGGTCGTACAGACCGGTACAGACTACACTGCAGCGCCTCAAAACCAGTACGACCAGGTACAGTACTATCAGCGACTACTAGTAGGGTTAGTAATGTGTCACTGCCAGTTACGTACACAAATATTTGTATAATTTTGAAACTATGACGAACTGTAAATAGTTGGAGTCGAATTGAAATGTAAATAGAGATCGCACAAAACTTAGTTAACTCACAACCAACCAAAATCACGCACATTTCCTCCATCTTCTCAGGGCGCCGTATTCAATCTCCCTAACTCCTATGATATTCGAAATGTGTAATCGATTTCAGCTTTTAAGGAAAACTGCAAGTGTTTCTACGCCCGAAAATGTATTTGCCACGTTTGATTCAAGTTATATTGATGATTCAGTTCTTCTCAAATATGACGGTATATTTGATTTTAGAATTAAATTGTACTTATTTTCCATGAAATTTTATTATGCTGTATGTTACATGTAATGAAACTATATTTAATTTTTCTTCTTTTTTCTTTCATGATCCATCATCATACACTTCTACTTAAGAACTTAAAAGCTGGTAAGTAAACTTGTAATAGATGTAATATGTTATAAAATAGGCATTCAAACATTGCAAAAATTATGTTTATGTTACACTACACTACACTATACTACATACCACACATATTTTAGTTTCGTCCCCTTTGACTTTTGTCTGAAATAAAAGTAAAATATGATCCTCATATGTTGGTGATACTGAATCATAAGGTTCTAATACTAGAAAGTGGGACTATTTTATTAATTTATTTGACAACTGTCCATACCTCAGATTGTGTTGTGTCAAATGACAGGACAATTAGAAAATAATAAATTTGAAATGCTGTGGAAAGAGGCAATCATATCCTAATTTTATGTAGTACCCCAGAATTTTCATGAAATCCTGTCAAGATAGTGTCCTGACTGGAGTCAAACTGTCACATCAGGAATACAAATCAGAATCATTACTGTTTGAGTCTACCTGGTCGGTGAGTTCATATAGTCAGTAACACACCATAAAAATAATTAAAAAGAGAACATTAATTACTGTGAAAATATACCACATATGCTAATAACATACCACTATTATCTTATAGCTTACTCCAAGTGGTTGACATCTTTAGGAACTCTGAAATTGATACAACCCTGGTGATGCAGTTGCTGGTGCACTCTCAGGGCCTCGCTGAGGATATTGTAACATGTGAGACCAACAAATTTTACACGGTGAGGGCTCAGGAATACAAATGGGTCATCAACTTTCAGTTTCTCTCTACATGAATTGCATTGTGACACTTTCTATGTATGTGGCTGGATAAAGAGAACAAGGAAGACTGCATAATATAACTTACAGTTCATTCTGAAGAAGGCTCCACACTGGTTCCCAACCAGAGAGAGGGGGTAGTAGGTCATATTAGTTTTTAATGTTAAATTCTGCTGAAATAATTCTTTTAGTTGCATTTAATTGTCTGATCCACCAGATCTATTTGATCTATTTGAATGTATTAGTGCGAAGCATTACATTTATTTCAGTAAATAAATGGGGGGGAGTGCAAAAGGGTTTGAAGAAAACCAGATGGGGGGCAGGGGGCATCATGTCAAATATTTGGAAACCACTGAGATAGGTGCTAAGATTATGGCACCACCTATTCATTAGTTTGGATAAAAACATTTAAATTTGATTAATTTTAAGACGTATAAGTCTTGACAACCAAACAAAAGTGGAAATACCAATGGAGAAAGGTGGATTGTAATTTTAACCAAAAATTATGTTTTACATTGAAATTCTTGATGGAATTCTGTGGAACTCAGTTTGGGACATTTGTGTCAGCAGGGGAAAAGCCAGGCATGCTCCTCCCCCTTTTCTATATTAAAAAATCAGAATTTAAAAGAATGAAATATAACAAATATTCATATTCATAATTCTTCTATTCTGACTACTCTTGGATATTCAGCAAAAAATACTTGGAATGGCTTAAACCTAAGTTTATGAGCAAATTTTTTACCTACTCCCTTGTGAATAATCCTGGTTGTGCCCATGGTTTGGGAATCTTTGGTTATAGTGGCAACGATACAAAATTACCTGATTTGTGGTCCGTGACAATTTTGCATCTTATTTGTCGGCTAGAGGTACACAGAAGGCTTATATGTAAGACACATTCCCTGCAGTAACTAACACTTCATCAAACTGACTGCAGGAAGTGATGTATCAGACAGTTCATCAGCTGGAGTGGCAACAAAGGACACTCATGGAAATGGCATACAAGGATCAAGCTCTTAGATCAACATCTGGAGTAAATAGCATAAGTATGATCTTTTTTTTTACATAATTCTTTAACAGGATCCAAGTGATATTAAATCTCCTACATATTTTCTGTAGTGTTACCGAAAACAAAATTAAAACACTAACATATCTCAACCACTGTCAGACTTATCCCTTGTTTCCCTAACACCAGATTTTTGCTGGGCTACATGTTAGTATGTCATTTTAGTTTTTAATGTTATTTCTGCTTTATATGGATTGAAGGATTAAGTCTCCAGCCTCCAGTTTCTTTCCACAATCTTTTCTTTTCAATTTCTTGCCATCCTTCCACTCTCGTCTTGATGTATTCCAATGTCTGGCTAAGCCATGTTGTTCTGCATCATCCTGTCTCTTTCCTTTAAATTTTAATTCTGGTGATGTTCCAGAGATCTTTGTTTTATCCAGTCTTATTTCATGGCCAAACAATTGTTATTGTTTCTCCTGTGACTATTAACAAATTTTGAATTCCAAATCTTCTCTGTTTGTACATCCCACCACTTACCTCTAGATAACCTACAAAGAATCATTAAATATATCTAGAACCAAAATTAAATAAACCTGATTCTCTGAAGTTGGATTTGAAGTTCTCACACCAGTGATTGTGAAGAATTCTATCTTCTGGAATGTGATACCGTGAAACATGGTAGTTCATCAATGTTTCATAGGAAGCAGGGCTTGCTGGTTGCTTGGTTTACCCTTAAACCCTGAATATAGAGGCAGTACATTTCTTGGAAGCATCAGTAAACTTCCACCACTCTACAGCATCCAAGAATATACAGGACTCTCTTACAATTATCTTTATATGGTACAAATTTGTTAAAATTTCCACTCCTAATTGTGAAGAGGCATCTATTGCAGTTATAATGACTGTTACACAGGGGAGCATTCTACCAGTCTGGACTCAGAGAAAACAGCTCGTCGGAGAGTTATTGAGGCCACAAGATATGTACCCAGTGCAGGTGGGCTGGAAACTGTGGCAGGACTTGCAGAAACAAAGAAACTGCTGCATGAGGCTGTGTTTCTGCCCCTGAAGTTCCCACGTCTCTTCACAGGTAGTAGCACATGCTGAAATAACATTACCATTACAGTTGATAAATTATAAGACGCACATCTTCATCACAAACCTTTAGACTAGTCATACATAGCTGTATCATGATTGGAATTAAGAGAAGGTTAATTCTTCCATGGAGAACAGACTGTTTATATATTTAGGTCTTTGGTAACATAAGAAAATGAATTTAGCGAAGAAATAAAGATAACTGATGCAGGCCATAGATGTTGTTATAGTCTACAACAGATTTTAATCCATAACTGAGCAGAAAACCGATTCAAATACGTGGATGATAACACCAACTGTGAGGTACAGATACAGGGCATGATCCATCATTGAATAGGATACAGTTATATTAAATATTTTTGAGAGGAAAAATTTCAGGAAGGTGATGAAAAATAGCCAAGAACTGGGGGATTAAATAAAACCCCTGATGTGGAAGAGGATGTTAACACATTGCGGACCAGTTGTTTAAATATTTAAATCACCCTGGGGACCGGGGTTTTAAGCCTAGCACCCTAACTTGTGCACTGTTCATTTTAAAAATTAATATAAAATCTCCTAATTAATTATATGAACTAAAATTTTTGGAGAACACTTACCAGAGCTCCTAGAAGTGCTTGCGCGTGTGATATTGCTGGAAACATTCCCCTTTGTGAAGAGGCATCACGCAGAAGTTGCAGATGTATGCAGTCCTACTCTTCTTCTTGTGGACTGCGCACACACGGCACTGCCTAGAAGGGTACTTCTTCTTGCAATGTTCACTCTTCACAATTCTCACGAGGGTATGTTTCCACATATCACCCGAGAGTCGTCCAGGGGGGTCCACATGAGGCCTCCAGCGGATGCGAACAGATGGCCCCGGCTGCACTACGTCTGTGTCTGACGCAGGTACTGCCGCCACCATGAGGTCAGTAGCCCAAGCTTTTGCCAAGTTCAAGAGAAATGCTTTGTATTTCAAAGTAGAATTTCTGTTCACTTTTTTGAAAACCGAAAAAATCTCTTACGACTCATGAGTTTGCCAAAAATGGGAATTTCTAAAAATGGGTCACTTGACCAATAATCCTTCAAACTATCTCTCTTTGTAAGCCCCATTAGAATGATCATAGCCAAAAATTTTTTCATTTCTGTTGAAGTAACATCCACCCACTTCAACACCTTGTAGGTGCGGTCGTACGCCTCACGGTGTTGGAGATAGTATCTGTTAGTCTCCTGACATAACAGGTCAAAGAAACTATCTCCAAAAAACAGTGGCGCAACTTCAGACACATCCGTTGGGTCCGATGGCATCCGCTTCACCCCCGGATCACCAGTAAACCTACCCAAAGTAGGGGTTTTGTCCACTTTACCCCATGTGGCTGTCCCAGTACTCGCATTTTCATCGGAGCTCTCACTTTCACTGGACACAATATTTTGGGGGCCCTGTGGCCCCTGTCACTGTCACTTTCACTGAGGCTGGCCTCACTATCAGAAGACGAAGCAGTTGGCAAATCTGATAGCTCATTGGAGAACAAACCTAATATTTCTTGTTCTCCGAGAGAACTGCTTTTGTCTCTGATCCATGTTGCACTGCTAACTTCCTGGTTCATACATGGAAGCTTGGACTCGAACAAAGGCTTTTTTCTTTAGGTGTGACAGGAAATGAGCATGATCATGTTACTGGCTAAGCTAGCAAACATTCCCGAGGTCAACTACGCAGTAGTTATGATGCAACGTGGCCACACAGCGAGATATAGTCGGTTGCAACATAATGCGTCAGAAAAGGACCAATTGGCCCGCCAGGTCCGCAACGCTATAGAAACGTAGAGGGCCAATTGGCCTCTCCGGTCCTGAATGTGTTAAAAGGAGAAGGTTCTAGTGTTTGAAACATGTGATTAGAATAATCATACAAGGATGGCTAATAACATTTTTGAGAGTGAGCTGGAAAGTAGAAGAAGTGGGAAGACCTAGACTGAGATGACTCGAAGATGTAGGGAATCATTTGCAAGAGGTGAAAGTGAGAAGATGGAGAAGGAAGGTAAAGAACAGAGAAGAATGGGAATGTCAAAAATTAGGCTAAAATTCTCAGAGCTCCATACAGCCAAATAGCAAGTAAATATTTCCTCCACATCTGATACAAAGGCTATACTAGAGTAACTAATAGTTACATGATGATGTTTGGTATAATAGGCCAGATGTGGCTGCAGTACAAGGACTTAGTCCCACCCCACTAGCAATAAAACAGATGATAATGTTACAGGTGGACTGAAGCCATGCACTCGTATCCTGCTGTATGGACCCCCGGGAACAGGCAAGACAAAGCTGGTCAATGCATTTTCTGTGGAGCTGAATGTTCCACTTTACAGTGTGACGAGCGCTGATTTGCTGTCTACATGGGTGGGAGAAACCGAGAAGTGAGTATCAGTCTGCTGAGTCCTGAAGACGGATCATAGCATCGAGTGTGCAGACGGAGCTTGATACAGCATATGCCTCTATTAGGTTAAGCTCGGAAAGTCCACTATCCACCTTCAGTACTCAGTGAGACAGCAAGTTACATGCCACATCAGTGTTGTTCACCTCACTGTCCGTACCCATCATCACAATTAGTAAATAATGAATTAGAAATGTTGTGGAAGGAAATGGTAGTGGAATACTTTGAGGTACTGTCCTGGAATTTGCCTCAAGGGACTGAGGAATCCACAAAATACCTCAGACAGGAGAGTCAGTATCCTGGCTGAGGTGTGAACCAGGCTTCTTATGACTGCAAGCCTTAAGCTTTGTGCTTGAGCAACTTGCTTAGTGGCAGCCCTGCTGATTATGAAATTGTCAATGTACAGAAAATACACTGTATTTGGAAATTTAATTGTTATTATAGAACAATGTCAGGCATGTGATAGCATAGTTGGTTGAGGCAGTGTTAAAAGCTGAAAGGTTCAGGTTCAATTCTCGGTGTCACTGGATTTTTCTATTGATCTAATCCCTCCAGCCTCTAACAGAAATCTTCCCGAGGATAAAGGACGACCAGCATATAAGGCTGACAACCTCACTGCTAGCTGTGAGCCAACTGTCTAGAAAATGCAGTCTCTCAACATCCCACAACCCTATGGGCCTCCACAGCCTGTTACATGGATAGCTATACCTTTTACTTACAGAACAATGTCACTACAAAAGTTCCCACATCTGTGTACATCTTTAATTTATGGTGGCTGTAAGTGCTCCAGCTCCAGGGGTCTCTTACACTGTTCCAGATTGATACGGGAACTATTTGAATATACAAGGGACCAAGCTGAGTGTTCTGTGATATTCATAGACGAGGTTGACAGCATCTGTCGCCAGCGAACATCCAGAGAGCAGGACTTGACACGCAGGTGGGTAACTACAACTTACTTCAAATTTGTTGGATTTAAGGTTCACATGTCCATGACTACGCAGAGTACTATGTTCTAGGATATGAGGCTGTGAAATTTTGTGCAAGTTTACCTTCAGTTTGGAGAGATATACCGCCTCCATCTTCAGGTACACAAAGCAAGCAAACCTTTCACACATAAGAATTTTTAACGTGATATATGTGAAAACTTATGCCTATATATGTAGTGTATTATCTGTACTGCTGAACAGATTTGACAGTTATAAGCTGCTACTGTTGCCTCTGTTGTTGGCAGGATGAAGACAGAGCTGCTGACTCAGATGGACAAGTGCGACAAACAAATATTCTTAATGTGTGCTACCAACTGCCCCTGGGACATCGACTCTGCATTCCTCCGACGTTTTCAAAGGCGGATCTATGTTCCACTGCCAAAAGAGTATGAATTCTATTGCATAATCTTAAATACATCACATTTATTTCCTGTTCAGTTCATAATTTTCAACTGATTTGATTTGCTTTTATTTATTTTAATATTATTGAGGATATTTAAGTAACAAACAAGATGCTTCATCATTATTTACTATTTAACTTCAACCATTATAGCAATCTCCAGGGCAACAGATTTCCCATTTGGTGTGCTAAAATTATATAGAATCTTGACAGTTTTTGCCTGCCTGCCTGCCTTCAATTTTTATGGAAAAATTTAACTTTTAGAGGCATCTATGTTATCCTCCCCACTAAACTTTTAAACCAGCTGACCAATTTTCATTAAATTGTCATTATCATTATGCTTCTGGAGGCCACTCCAATTCCATGTAGTGAAAGATCTTAGATCCAATTCTACTAAAGGTAATTTTATAGACTGTAAAACAACAGTGGCAAAATTTTACACATGACTTTCAGATCAACTGTGATAACAAATCACAAGAGACAGGAGTCTTAAATTCTGATTACAGACATTTTGACAAAGTATGAACTAATGTTTGTATATCAACAATTACAAACACAGCAACAGGACAAAACTTTGAGACTACATCTGACAAATTTAATGTGGGCAGAAGCTGTGCAAGAGATTCTTTCAAATAAGAAAGCACTGCTAGTACAAAGTGTAACCTATGAGGTCTGACTATAAAGTTCATGCACTCACCACTGTATGCTTGCTGTGGCAGCAGTGGACAGAAACCTTAGTATGGTTTGATGACGTGGCATATCAGCATTTCACAGCTGTGTTCTTGTTGATCTATGGCAATCTCTTTCTGAGTGGTGTCTATTATTGTCTGAGTGTATTTTGGTGTGCCACTGCAAGAATGTCTTAGCTTGAATTAGAGCACCGGACAAACATTCAACTTCTTGTTAAACTTGGCAAGAGTGAAAGCGAAATCAGAGAGATGTTAGTGCAAGTTTATGGGGATAATGCTATGAAGATAACAACAGTTTACAAATGGGTGACACGTTTTTATGAGGGAAGAGAAAGTGTCATTGATGAAGAGAGATCAGGACAGCCAGCAACGAGCAGAACAGAAGAAAACATTGCAAAAGTTTGTCAAATTGTGCGTGAAAATCATCGGCTGACTGTCAGGAGCATAGCAGAGGAAGTGAACATCGACAGAGAAACAGTTAGGAAAATCTTAACTGAAGATCTTGACATGAGGAAGGTGTTCCCAAGAGAGCTCACCAAAGAACAAAAGCAAAGGTCAAAATTTCCCAATACCAGTTGCTTTTTTATATTAGAGGAATTGTTCATTATGAGTTTGTACCAACTGGATAAACAGACAACTAAGTTTATAGTAGTGAAAAGGCTGTATGAAAAAGTTACACAGAAACAACCCAAACTTTTTGCCAGCAACACATGGATCTTGCATCATGACGATGCACTTGTTAACATGGCACTGTCTATGAGGGAGTTTTTAGCTAGTAACCAAATAACTGTGCTGGAACACCCTCCCTATTCACCAGATCTTACCAGCAATGATTTCTTTCTGTTTCCAAAGATAAGGAAATACTGAAAGGAAGGCATTTTGATGTCACTGATGACATCAGGAGTAATATGATAGCAGCTCTGAAGGCCATTCCACAAAACCAGCTCCAAAATTGTTTTGAAGGGTGGAGTTGGCACTGGTATCGGTGCATAGCTTCCCAGGGGGATATTTAGCAATGACATATGTAGCACTTTTAATGGGATGAGTTTGCAAACTTTATTGTCAGACTACGTATTTAAAATTGCATGCAATACAAAATTCTCTGTTCCAAAATGCTGGTAACTTCCTACCACACTTCACGTTTTACATCATACAAACAGCAACCAAACATAGCAAGTATCAGTGTAAGAGCAGGTAGAAAAATAGCCATTCTTGGAGCCACAGTAATGTTTCCCATCATATGAAGAAAATACAGCCCTTCCCATGGTCCCCATGTTATCTTTAAACAAGGTAAAATGCCCTGTTCATGGGAAGAGGCAAACATGCCTTTTTTTTTTTTTTAACAGATAGGTAGAGGAGTGTCGTCTTCAGAGGAGATAACTGTCTTGCTTATATTGCTCATTTCTTGACACAGGAAGGACCGAATGGAGATCTTCTGTATCCACACGTCGGGTACTTCCTTGTCTCTATCAGACAATGACTGGAAGATGCTTCTGGAAAAAACTGATGGTTACTCAGGATGTGATCTTGTCAACCTAATAAGCAGTGCACTCCTAGAACCCATGCGTGACATGGTCAAAGCAACCCACTGGGTGACCACTCACAGTAAGTATTGTACCAGTATTAAAATTGTTTCTAATGCTGGTTTGGGATTGAACCATACCACAGGATAAACCAAATGTCACAAATACCTGATGGTGGTATACCAAAAACACAGAAGCAGTTAAGTGACAACAGAGGTTCTCACACCAATGACTATCAAGACTATCGATTTCTTGGGTGCTATCCCACGTACTTTGGTAGACAGAAATGCTTCAGGGGAACATAGTGACTCCATCTTCACAGTAGACCTTGAAAACTGAGGCAGGACGTTCTTCCAAATTACTGGCATATATCTGCCAACTACCTGGCACCACAACTTTGAACATGATAATCTTCACTGTATTGCAAAATGTATGCAGGGCTAAATTTTCAGATTTTCACATTGGCAGTTCTCAGATTTCGTTCTGAGTTGTGACACTGTATAGGCAGATACAAACACATATGCCTGACTGGAGCTCTATTTCCTGCCCTCCACTCGTGTCACCTTTCTGTCACTGCAAAAATTTCTCGCATTTTTGTTTCATTGCTCAGACATGGCTGTTGTAGCTTCAAATCACTACAACCCCCGGAAAGCTGAGGCAGCCATGTTCGTTCAACAAATTAGTATAAACCTACAAAACTACATGGTGTAACATTTCAGAAGACTACAATTTGAAGATGACTCAATAAAATGTGATTAACAATCTTCTATAATAATGTAAAATCTGGCGCATGTGTAGGCTATTGTAAGAATAAAGTACAGAAGTTCTGATGCCAGTCATTAATTGTTGATATTAATTCAGTTCCTAATGCACCTGCTGTCTCCACTCTCAGAATCAAAGAGTAAGCCAAACACAAGGCCATGCCATAGCTCAAGCAGTTAGTCGCTGGCTTCGCACTGCAGCGGCCCGGGTTTGATCCCGGGTCTGGTCAAGTGGGATTTGTGGTGGACAAAGTGGCGCTGGGGCAGGTTTTCTCAGAGTACTTCAGTTTCCTCTGCCAATCTTCATTCCACCAATTGCTCAACAATCACCCTCACCTATCATTTGGGGCTGGTACAATAGGCCAGAAGTGGCCGCAGTACAAGGGACTTAGTCCCACCCCACTAGCAATAAACAAAAAGCCAAGCACAAGAAACCAGAAGAAGCAGATGGCAGACAGAGCTCAACTTCTGCTGGTTTAGTCTTCAACTGTGAAGATGGAGGCAATATACTCCTCCATAACACTGGGTTTTCTCCGAATTAGAAGGCATTACAACCCAGATGATCATACTCTTCATAGTCACTGTCATGTGAAATTCAAATTCATCATAAAATGACATAATTTCCAACAACTATGACCCATGAAATCAAAACACTGTGTGGCATGTGTGTGTGTGTGTGTGTTGCAGCTGGTCAGATAAAGCCATGTGCCAGTAACTGTCCGGGTGCTGTTCAGAGCTCACTGTGTGATCTGCCGGCTGACCAGGTAACAAACTTTCTGCCTGACCTGTGAGGCACGCTAATTACATGGCACTGCCATGCGTGTGCAACAAAGGGATATGATTATGTCTAAAGTATTGACAATACCATAACTAACTTTATGGAGCTTAATTCTCTAGAAGCAAACAGCTGCTCAGCCATTAACAAAGTTCCCAGCATTTCAGGGAAACTAAGGTCCATTATGGGTTCACATGAGCACACAACACACCACCAGTCCCCATTCTGAGCTAGATGAGTCCAATCCACTTCCTCACACATTTCTTTGAGATTCATTTCAATCCTATCTTCCCATCAATGTCCACATCTTTCTAGTGATCTTATTCCCCTGATGATACTATTGATCGTAAGAATATAATAGCTTACCTCACTTCAGTAACTGTTGTATGGTCCTGCAAGTTGTACTCACATTTTGCAGGTTGTGGCCCGTGATGTTACACTAGCTGATTTCCTGACAGCCATGCGGAACACACACAGGACCATTAGCAGTGACGATCTCTCAAAGTTTGAGAGCTTCACTGCAAAGTATGGGCAGTGTGGGTAGATCATGGCAATCATCACAGAAATCTGTACAGACATTTGAATTAAAGTATCCTGTCTCAGCAGAATTCCAATTCAAACATATCTTCATTCAGTTGAATCAAGTTAAAAATGTTGACATGAAATGGGTATAACCTCTATAAGAGAATGTACATACTCCAAGTTTTGGGTTCCAGTGGCTTTATTATATTTCTTTCTTTCCATTTTGCTTTTAAGTTTTGCTTCTCTGTATCCAAAAACTGTGGAAAAATGAGAGAGCATGTCTTACACCAACAAATCGCCAAATGTTTGTCATGTCTTGAGATTCAATGGTATCTGCAGTGAGATACTGTGACCGTGAGCTGATCGGAAACATCATTACAAACATACCTGCAGTTTACAATGATAAGGTCACAGTTTTCACCAGGTGCTGACAAGGGATTGGATCTATGTTGGTGCAAGAACACAACACCAGAGCATGCTATTGTCCAACATGTTTGTGAGTGTGGGTGTTACAATATATAGATAAACTGTGATTTGCTGCCAGCTTGTTATTAATCTTTGGACTATACTAAACAATATCAATTAAACATGGTCAATATTCCATGGAATGTTCTTCTTTGTCACCCAACTGTTTTATTTTAACATGGTTCCCTGTGGCCATCTTGAGAAATTACTGCTCTCATGCTGTAATTAAAATTAAATTATTATATGAAATTGCTACAGTAAATATTGTCAGCCATGAAACAAATTTCTAAACTCTTTCAATGGAACTATGTCTGCATACACACAGCAGGAACTATCAGGATACCAGTATTGCAAAATGTAATATTTGAGGTTCTCACAGTGGTGGTTATGAAAATTCCTATCTTCTGGGACACGACAACATGCAGTGTGTCAAAAACCAACCAACATGCTTCATGCTGGTTTCTTGCTTGGCTTGTTCTCGAACCCCGAGGATCAAGGCATGACATTCCTCCAAAACACTGGTCGATTTTCAATCGATTACATGGCGGTATAACCCAGAAGACAGTATTCTTCAACATTAGAACATTTTGCTGTGCGAGGTAACGTTATTAAAAAAAAAAAACTAGGATAAAGAAATTTTTAAAAATGGTAATGTTTGGCGCAAACCAAGCATTGCTTGAAAAAAAAACGTGAAAATTTTTTTATGTTAATATTCAATTTATCAAACCAAACCAAATGTTGTGGTAAAATAATGATGTAAATCCAGTGATTTACAGCATCAGTAATGATGTTAGTGTATATATATATACATATATATCTATGTCTCAAGTTTATAAATATGGAGTTACATCCTTTCATGCCAAACCCACCTATTGAAAATCTACATCATCACTTTATAGCATGGGAAGGGTCACAAATATTACAACCTACAAATAACGAGACCCTCAAGAGCACACACTTCCAAGATGGACAAGGTGCACCATAAGGCCACAGGATTCTGCCATCTGCCACTGAATCACACAAAGATCTCTCCATAGGCTCCCATCACTCATCTCTGTGCAATGAAAACCAGAGGGCAGTAGCAGCATCAGAAGAAAATGAAGATGAGGAACAGTTGTGTTTTAAATTCACATAGAACTAGAACCAACAGCTCCCATAAAGTTGAACCGCACATTTTGACTGACTAGTGCTGCAGATGTTCAAAAAATCTGTAATATACAGGATGTCCCAGGAGGAATGGACCAAACTTCGGGAGGGTGTTCCTTATGTTAAAGTATGTCGATATAACCCAAAACACCTATGTCCAAAGTTGAACGGTTACGGAGATAATGGCCAGAGAAGTGTGAAACTTTGACCGGCGTTGCACACTTGTTGATTACAAATTACATATTAAAACTGGCAGGAATATGTGGATTCTGTAATGTTAATAATGTACGTAACATCAAACTAACTTGTGAGTGACGTGAAGCCATAAAATTGAAGTACAAAATACTCGCTCGCCATGTCATAATTGTCCTTAGGGTTTCCAGGCACTATACATGACACATGAATGGCAAGCGCTGACGTAACGTACTGACTGCGCGTTCTGATAAAGCCAACTACATAAGCACGGCTAGGGTGAATCACGGCACTCAAGGACAAACAAAGATAAGGCCTCTCAGCTGACAGGTATAATCCGTGGACCCGCTAGAAGACCACACTTTTCTCGGGCCATTATCTCCGTAACCGTTCAACTTTGGACATAGGTGTTTTGGGTTATATCGGCATACTTTAACATAAGGAACACCCTCCTGAAGTTTGGTCCATTCCTCCTGGGACACCCTGTATACTCGTATATCTCAACAGTTGTGGTCAGAGCTGCCAATGCAACCAGATTGTGTCCCAACTGTTGTTAACATCACAGCTCTCATGTTGTGTGGCATCGGAAGCATTCTATGGGAGACTGTTGGAACTAATGAAATTTAAAGCCCTCATTCCTACATTGACAGGGNATATTTTCCAGTTTACTGTCGTCTCTGAGGAGGCTGTATTCAGTCACAGAATGCAGGGCTCTGCTGTTCTGGCTAGTTGCGTCGTGAAGTTTGTTCCCTATGTAAGATTTGAGGCTTTCACGGCGGTGACTATGAAGAAAGCAGTCTTTTGGGATTTGGCACCGTGTATATGTGGTGTTAACCGACGTTTCGGAGGAACGTATCGCCTCCATCTTCAGGGTAGAAGGAAAAATATAAGGAATCCGCAAGCGAAGAGACCGTAAGAACCGGTAAAAGCAGACTGGTGTTGGAAATATACACAGCTATGTGAGAGCAGAGAAGAAAGGGGGGAAGGGCAAGTATACTAGTGAAACCGTTAGTGGGGGGGGGAGCTGGGACAAGCATGGTTTTTGTGTTGGGGGAGAGAAAGGCAAGGTTAAAGGCTGGGCACTAACCCATAAGCTGAGGTGGGAGGGTTGTTATGTCAGTTGGTCATGGCCTGTGTGGCCTTCTGGATCTGGCGTCATATCCCAGTTGGGGTTTTTAAGAGAACAGATGAGAGGCTTCCAAGACTTGCTGAGACAACCCCCCCCCCCCTCTGTTCATATGAACATATATATTTTTCCTTCTACCCTGAAGATGAAGGCGATACGTTCCTCCGAAATGTCGGTTAACACCACATATACACGGTGCCAAATCCCAAAAGACTGCTTTCTTCATAGTCACCGCCGTGAAAGCCTCAAATCTTACATAGGGAACAAACTTCACGACGCAACTAGCCAGAACAGCAGAGCCCTGCATTCTGTGACTGAATACAGCCTCCTCAGAGACGACAGTAAACTGGAAAATATGAACACTGCAAGATTTTAGTTTCTTATGATGGCAAAGATTACAGTCTTCCAGAATTTAACGTAATGTAGGCTGGCAGAGAAATGTGCTGCCTCAATCTTAGTTTCTAACCTGAACATTGATGCACCAAAATATTGGTAAACATCTGACTACATGACATTACATACCAAAGACAGACTCATCAGTGAGGATGTGTCAGATGCCCTAAACCAAAGTGAAAAGTCTGTGTACTATGTTTACCAATATAGTACCAGTGATTTAGCAAATTTTTCATCTAGTCCAAAACTTCTCTGAGGGTGAATCACCATCAGAGACTGACACAAAGGTGATTTAGTAATCATAAAGTTAATAGATTCTATGTTCAACATAGAATGGGAACCACATCTCCACACCAGAAGTCTTGCTGAATACACAAGGTATGGTATACCCTCAAAGATGTCTTAGACATGTAATACCACTCACTTATGCTCTGTTTATTGTCTTTTATTAAACTTAACTACATTTATTTGCACAGCTATGTCACTTAAGGTAAAAAGTATGCTGTATTAATTGACACTGGGAAGGTGACTTTCAGAAATCTTCTGTGTCTATATCACAGGTTCTTAACCTCTGTGTGTACACAACCTTAATTTAAAGCAAAACAAATTTGCATTCCCACAATCACTGACAAACCATGAGTGGTGACTCAACTGCCACTCCAAATGATTCAGAGGGAATGTTACATTACTCAGACAAATATGGACATGTTAACAAAAATAAACAGAGCACAGTGGTGTCTTAGTACTCAAAGGGCCAAGTAAGTCAGGAATACAGACGTAAGAAGTATCATTTTTAGATAAGATTTCATATCTTCTTATTCTCCAGCAAAGAGATTTGTGGCGCAATAAGTTTGGAAAGCTATGGGCTAGATAGAAAAATAGATATTGTCAGATTCCCAGCAAAACTCTTGCTTGGTACACATACTACAGAACGCTGGAATAAAATGTCTGTCCCCTCAATAATGTGGCCACTCTGGTGTACAAATACTTCACAATTTGCATTTACTCTTATTTTTTACTGCCTTGTTCTTTCACCCCAGTTTTAAACAACACACAATATACACCACAATAAGGCGTTTGTTTAACTACTGCTTACAAAAGGCTGCTTGTCATCAACCATCAGTCTTTATCTGCCCATAACTTCTCAGCCTGAACAGCACAGAAAATTTTATTAGGCATAATTTAGCTTAAACTAAAATGCAGGATACTTAACACATTTGTGTCAGCTTGTATTTGGCATTTTATACAAATTTTGTTCACATGGCATACCATATGCAGGCTGAATCTTCTTTTTATAACTTATGAAACAAAATAAATCCAGATGTTTCACTCCTATTTTAATTATAATATCTACAACTTGTCCAGATGCAGTAGTCTGTGAACACTTCCCTGATTTGTCATCCATAAACACCAATACATCACTCTGGCTTGAACATGTTAAGATTCTGTGGTAGTGTTAAAGTTACAAATGGGGAATAGCTCCCCTCCATACCTTAACACATTCAATGTCCTGTCACTACAGGCTGGGCCAGCCATTTTTCCATGAGAACTCAATTTTGAAGTTAAATTATAAATAGAAATTAAACAGAAAAAGTGCTCCATGTTTAGAATTTTTTTGTGCTGACAAAATACAGTTGAGCTTCTATGCATCTGAGTAATATCAGTTGGTGAAAATTAAATTTAAGTATAAAGTGGCACAGCCCACCACTGTGATCCATCAAACAATGAGATTGGCAGTGAATATGTTAAAACAGCGAAGGTAAGAAAACAATTTTCTCCTGTTACACCAACCAGGTAATATCAGTAAGGTGATCACAAAGCAACAGCTGGCTCCAGACAGTTTTATATGCAGTAAAACTTCTGACATCAAGATTCAAACTGAGGTGAGAAATCGAATGCATGCTACATCTGCCAACATGAAGGCTGAGAAGTTCCCTAGTGCTACATCATGTGGACAACTTTACAAAATCGAACTGTATGAGCTTCTCCTTAACCACTGATGGCCCTGAGTTGAATTTCACACTTATCTTGTTCACAGTATTTAAGCCTGGCACTCTAAGCCGTGAGAAGTAGAGAAATTCATTTTGTAATCTACTTTCCTCCCTTGGAGGAAGGGAGGGAGGCTTATGAGGTTATATGTTGTGCAAAGACTGAGATAGCCCTTTAAAACTAACAAACTGCGCAAGTCTCTCTCATTCTCACCTGAGGACTGAAACACACCAGTTTCCACTATGCTATAGACAAAATCCAGAAACTCAGTAATCAGAACTAAGTTATCACACTTCATGTAGGAAAAATCCACTTGTTGCTTATTTTTGATACAGTAAGCGTTCCAGCATGAGACCCATGTCAGTTTTCAACCATGGACAATTACAAAATTATAACCAGGGGTTAAAATGGCTTTGCAAAACTCAGTAGACACTCCTGCATGAGTTAAAACTGCCCATAGATGATTATCGGGGGTGCGCGGTAGCGTAGTTGGTTGAGGCACTATGCTACAAGCCGGAAGGTTGCGGGTTCAAGTCCCGATGAGGTCATTGGATTTTTTTCAATTTACCTAATCCTTCCAGCCGCAGTATGACCCTGGGGTCGACTCAGTCTCTAACAGAAAAATGAGTACCAGGAATTATTTAAATAATTTTCCTGGGGAGTAAAGCGTGGCTTGCACATAAGGCTGACAACCTTACCGCCATCTGTGAGCCGATCAACGTCTCACAACCCTATGGGCCTTCAGGGCCTGTTACAGGGATAGCTTTACTTTTTTTCTTTTTTACTTTTACACAGACGATTATCAAATGTGATGCCTCCAACATATGCAGTGCTGCTTTTGC